ACGTATATTTCGCGACGGAACTCACCGAACACCCAAATCAAAAGGTGTGTTCGACTTAAAGCTGCACTGCGCAGAGCGATCAGTGTTTGACATCAAAGCACCCATTCACTGATCGGTCTGCTCAGCGCCGCTTTAAGTCGAACACACCTAATGCCGTCTGCTGGACTAAGCGCGCTCATTGCTGCGTGTACTTATGATTTTATTTTCACTACCTGCGAACTCACGAAGAGCTCATAAAAGGCACTTTACCTCCTCGTTGCTCCACGTTTGCCCTCTGCTCATTTTGTTTGGGATACACCGCTCGTTCTGCGTCGTCAAATCATGTCGCATTGCGTCGCATTGTCATTACTTCCTGTTTTTGGTTTGTTTATAAGTATTTGGTCCGTGTTGCGTTCATATTTCATTTGAACCGCACCAGAGTTCGTCTGGAAGCGGACCGAGACCCATCTTTTTAGCGGTCTCGGTCCGCTGGTGCGCACCAGGTTTCGGATGGCAGTGTCCACACTGTATTCACACCAGGAAAGTCCGCTAGTTCACTTGCTTTGGTCCGGACCAAATACAATGTTGATTTTTTTTGTTTTGTGTGGTTCGCTTTCACACTGCCCTTTCGAACCAAACAAGACAGGTGTGAATACACCCAATGAACCGCACTAACAGATCAATCGCACCAGGGTTTGTTTTAATCGAACCAAACATGACAAGTGTGAACACACACTGAGAGCGAGAGAACCGGTGTTCAGCCGTACATATGGGAAGCCAAACACACTGAAAGTGGGACAAAACAGCGCGATGTTAAAGAGCTCGCTGCCGTGCGACCGACTCGACAGCGCAGGGAGGATGTGTTTGCTAGTGCCACCGAACTAACAGCGCCGCGCTAACTAATCTTACCAGCATGACGCTGATCAATTCAAATACTTCAATAACATACACACACACAAATACGGTTAAAACGTTAGCTAAGCACTATAACGACATTCACAGTGCAGTCTGGAGTGAAATGATTTGCGCAGACATATAACGTTACGTATTTAGGTAGATTTTGAGGCGCATTACCTTCAAAAACAAAAGTAATCCACTGAGTCCTCAGTGGCTCAGATGTTGGGAGAAAATGAAGACTCTTATGTTCAGTCTTGCAGCCAAACACAGAACACCGGAATTGCTTACTAGACGTTGACATTACAGCTTCTCGAGCGCGGAGAAAATGGAGGACAGTGTACAACCAAACACAACTCGCTGAGGGCGGAAACTACGGTAATGCAGGACTGTCAGTCAGCGGCTGTGGGCGGGGCCTAAACATTGTGACGTCACCAAGCGGCAACCTTCCGGTCTCTCTCGTGAAAACAACACGGAAGTGACTAAAACTGCAATTCATCGACTGGCCGCTAGAGGCTGGCTCCAAAAGGGAGTCAGTCCTATAGACTCCCCATGTTAAAATGCCCAACTTTACAGCAGAAAAAAATATGTTTACAGCCTGGTACAAAAAGTGGTTTTGGTCTATATAGCTAATTTTTCCCTTCATGACAACTGTGAGGGGGGTGAATTTTTTTATAATTCATCAGTTTAAATTATATTAAGCCTTAAAGTTCAGCATAATTAAGGGCGTGGCCACTTCAGTAAGGCTTCAAAAACACTCTTCGGAAACCTACGGGTGACGTCACGGACACTATGTCCATGTTTTTATACAGTCTATGGACGTCACAATGCTAAGAGAATCAAAACGGCATGCCTAATGAAACTGGTTTGGTTTAATAGGAATTAAAAAATAAAGGGTGGGTGGATTTTATCATTCTAGGTTGGTTGTGTTCACACACTGCCAACACACATTTATGTCCAAACACCATGTAAAAGTGGATTTTGCATAATATGTGCCCTTTAATAGATGCTGTAAAAATATATTGCTCAGTTAATTCATGCATTAACTAATGTTAACAAATGAGACCTTATTGTAAAGTGTTGCCAATGTTTTTTTTTATGTTGTACATTTTTAGGCCTCTAATGTACAATCCCTGATGTCTCACTTTAACTCACTGGCTGGCGAAAGTTTGTTTTCCCAACCTGCTCCGAACAATCAATTCAGCAGCGCCGGGAATCATGACCAGAATCCAGTGTTGATCCCCAAGCTGGCGAAACTTAAACCTGTGGACATGAATAAAGACGCAGGCTCCAGGCCTAAACCACTCATGGTCAAACCCAACTTCATGGTTAACTCTATGGAGGCTAGATTCAATCCTCCAGTTTCTAACAACAAGACCAATGGTGACTCGAGAAGTGATGCTGTAGGAGTGAAGCTGCCCAATAGAGGAAAACAGGAGAACGCTTTTACACAAGCCCCCACTGGAGCCGGATTCCAGATTCCTGCCAAACTGCCTATTATGCAGAAACCTGTTCTCCATGAAAAGATCTCTGCAGCACCGGGAACCGCTACTGGTGATTTGTCAGTGCCGAAAAAGAAGTCTCTTCCCAGTGTGTTTGCTTTAGGAAAATGTCCTGCCAAACCACAGAGACCTCCACATGTTAACCTCAGCAAGTTCAGAGGGAACGGTAAGATACGGACCTCAATGATGAAGCTCATTTAAGATAAACTGATGTGTTTTTATTCAGAGAAAGATTCAGTTCATTCTTTTTAGATGTCTGAAATAATGTGAATTTACACCCACAATACCAGTAAGATTTTGGACACATTACTGTTAAAAAAATTGGGGTCAGAAAGATTTATTTTTAGTGTTTTTGAAAGAAGTCTCTAATGCTCACCAGGGCTGCATTTATTTGGTCAAAAATACAGTAAAAACAGTAACATTGTGAAATATTACAATTTATAATAACGGTTTTCTATTTGAATTAATTTTAAAATGTAATTTATTTCTGTGATCAAAGCTGAATTTTCAGCATCATTACTCCAGTCTTCAGTGTCACATGATCCTTCAGAAATCATTCTAATATACTGATTTGCTCTTCAAGAAACATTTCTTATTATTATCAATGTTGAAACGTGTGCTGCTTAATATTTTTGTGGAAACTGTGATATGTTTTTTCAGGATTCTTTGATGAATAAAAAGTTCAACAGCACTTACTTGAAATATAAATCTTTTGTAAAATTATAAAAGGCTTTACTGAATTTTTTTATCAATTTAATGCAAATAAAAATATTAATTTGATAAAAAATAAAATCTTACTGGCCCTAAACTTTTAAACGGTAGTTTAAATCACTTAAAATGTTGAAATATTGCATTAAATAACTAAATATTAAAACAAATGTCATTTATTTTAAGAAAAGAGAGAAGTTTAAAATTATTTTAGAATGATGAAACAATAATAATAATAATAATAAAAAATAGAAGTAAAAAAAAACATAAATTATATATTGCATAATGAAAATGAATCCTATAGTAGAACCATTTTTGCATTATAACGTTATTTTCACAGTAATGAAGCACATTTTCTCTGGTTCTGGTGGTTTGATGTGTTGTTACCTAATGGCATTCATAAAGTGTGTCCAAAAACTTTCTGGGCCAATTGTATTCTGGTCTAAACATCCAAAAGGTATTTCCCCTGAACCAAAGTATTTACTTTAAGTAATTTTCAACAAACTTGTGAAGCAGTACCCTAGCATCATACTAGCACATTTTGCACAGGCAAATGCTGCTCACGTTTTCTTCAGAAAATGTAGTTGGTTAGTATTTAGCAAAGGCTGCATATCAATTGGGCTCAAATTTTAATATGATTAATGAAGAAAACAAAATAGAAAAACAAGGAAAACTCACTTAAAATTCTGCTAATGGAACACTCTCCTCTACACAGGCCAGAGGAAAACAAAGAACAGAAAGAAGAAAAGACGACAAAAGAATCAAAGGAACTCAAGAAAAATTATTTTATTTCATTATATTATTTATCTCACAAAACCTGTCAAGAACACATCTGGAGACACATTTCTCCTCAAAATTGATATTATATTTCACATAAGTAGAAGATTTATTTTAGGATTATGACATTATTTTTTGACATATTTTTATTTATTTATTTGTATATCATTTTCCTTCATGATCATAGTGGTACTTGTTTTACTGGCTTTTATTTATGATGATATAAATAAGTTTATGCTGATTTTTTTTTAAATCATTATATTGCAAAATGACAATTTGGAAGGGAATTGCACTTAATAGTCATTAAAATACATACACATATGTGACCCTGGACCACAAAACCAGTCTTAAGTCGCTGGGGTATATTTGTAGCAATAGCCAAAAA